TTCCGAATTTTGTTATTCCATTTTTTAATGGTATCAATTATATTATATCATATCATTCGTTTGATCTATTTTAGGAATTTCTCTGTGTATTTCATTTTATAAGTGCTCCGCTTCTCCTTCTCTTGTTGTTCGCTTCTCTTCCTCTTGTCGTTTTACTGTTGTTTCTTTAGTTTAATTTTTGACAACTTCTAAAAGATGGTATGCAGTCGCAAAGCATTGTCAATAAATAAAGTCTGATATAGCCGAATTCCAATTCACTATAATATTTTTCTTCTTCATCAATATAGCGCTGCTTTTCCTTCAATAATTCGATGCAAGTCCTCAAGTTTAAATATCCACGATGATCTTTTATTACATTGGCAATTCGCTTAAGCGTGCTACTCATAGCCGAATGTATTTCAGACGGTTCTATATTATCTTCACAATTCTCAACGTCTCAATCAATATATTACTTTCTTTAGCTGTACCCAATATGTTACTTACTTTGATGTGTTTGACTTTATGCCTTTTTCAACTGACTAATTTTGATTGTAATACACAACAGCATATTTATACTTCAGAGCACATTTGGAATTGCCCTTCCCTCCCAGAATTACAACTCAAGGCAATCCACATTAAATTTTGATTGATTTACAAACTTCACATGAGTCTCTGCACAAGGTCAGATAATGTTTTTCTGTTTTTTTTTGTCTGTTGTTCAATGCCCTAATTACGTAAATTGTCAAAAAAATATTCATGCATATCGTCGATTCATTTACATGTAAACGTGTTCTACCAAACTATTTCTGCGTGGAGAGGCATAAGTAAAAAAATAAGAAAAATTGGTAGCTAAATCCGACTTTCATATAAGTTGTTTTGATGCCTTGCTAGTTGGCTTTTTTATAAAGAATTTTTTTCGGGTTTTTCTTTACTTGTTTTCCACTAGGATTTAAAATCGATTTGAATACTAATGAAAAAATGAGCGTATGTAAAGAAATTCCCAAAACATGTACTGTGTGCATTTCGATTTTCCTGATTTTGGAAAAAATTGAAAAGTATGCGAAATCTTTTTGCAAAGATGGCTTTTCGAAATTACTTCTCTTTTCTTTCTTTTATTAGAGATGCCGTATACTCTTCGAGCTCTTTTTCTTCTTGAATTTCTTCTGGCGTTTTTTGTTTGGTCGATGATTTGTAACGTAAGAGATCCAAAAAGGATGGCGTCACTAAACAGTTTTCTTCTGTCTCGTTTCCAGTGTCTCCGTTTTTTCGAGAAATATTTTGACCGTTGAAAATATTCTCTGTTACATCGTCATCAGAATCACTATCGGAATCAGAATCACCGCCGGAACTAGCGTCGTCAGAGCTATTGGCGCTCTCTGCCGCATCATCGGACTCAGAATCACTGGCGCTCTCTGATTCGTTTTGATCACCGTCGTCGGAATCACCGTCGTGATTTGAACCATTGTCGTTATCACTGAAAAAGCAAAAAATTAACTTATCTACAAAAAAAAAAATGATTCGCACCTTTCCTCGTTGTTGGTATGAGATTCCCCTCCGTAGTTTTGTGTTTCTCGATTTTCTTCATTGGAAAATGATGCACCCGACGGAAGAGCTGCAGGAGCGAAAAAATTGTTGTCGGAGAAATGTACGGACAACGAAATGGCGTTTGAAACCGAAACACTGTCATCGGGAACAAACTGAGCCCATTCCGGATCAGCAATTTGGCTGCAGAAAAATCATAATAAAATTAATAATACAATGGAAAATAAAAAAAAGAAAATTACCTTGTCTCCTGCACGCTGATGTAGTTTTTCTCAGGGAGACTGTAATAATATTTCTGCGGAAAATTTTGAGCGTTGTAAGTAGATTCGTGTTGATTGCAGTTGGTTTGTTGATAACCACCAATTTGGGCCGTTGTGTCAGAACCTTTCCTGAAAAATTAATTAAACAAGTAAAATCTGGGAAAAGGTGTTGTCGTAGTTCAGTTGACGACAACTCTTGAACACACCTGAAAAACACAAAAAAATTAATTAAATGCCGTCGAAAATTACAATTAGCGAAGTGCATACCGTGTCTGATTAAATGTATTTTGTTGTTTTGCAACCACACTTGTTGCGGGGCTGTTGTAATCGAAACTGAAAAAATTACAAATTGAAAAGAACCACACTAAAAAATGCTGCAAAAAATTGCTCATACCACGGTTGATTCAACGTATTTTGTTGTTTTTGTGCGTACTGTGGTTGATTGAACATGTTTTGTTGTTTTTGTGCGTACTGCGGTTGATTGAATGTGTTTGGTTTTGCAATTGTCGCAGAGTTATAGCATGCTCTGTATTTCCTTCATCTTGCCCATCACTGTTTGTTTCCCCGATTGCCCATTGGTCTGCCCATTTTGTTTATTACAATTACCAGATTTGGTGTTCTGTTGTGAACATCTAGGATAGGGAGTAAACCTCGATATTGAAGGGAATGGTTCAGTGCTCCCCCCTTTGGAACCCAACGTGGAAGATTTTGGAAAGTAAAGTTCTATTCCGGATCTTGCTTCTTGCATCACTTGGTCTAATTTCTTCTGAAGATCCTCTGCCGTCGCATTTTTCAAGTATTCCGGCGTTACTTCACTCTTAGTCAGTATTCAATGCGTCGATATTTTTTCAGCCAATCTGCCATTCGCTTGTTACTCGTACCTTCCCGTCTCAAACTCTTCGTTCAGGTCCCTTACTATCTCTCGGTAAACACCTTCAATGCGCGCAAAATAGCTCCTGTCCTGTTGCCTGGTTATAGCCTCGTACTCGACTTCCCGTTCCAGTTCTGCCTCGTAGTTTCCAATAATATGCTCTGGCAATGTGGGTGGCACTCCACCAAAATACTGTGCCCACAAATTGATAAGAGATAAAAGTTCACTTCTTACTTGATTGTAATAATTGTCACGCTGTATCAGGAAGTCGTGGCTATTTTGGTCGCCTAGTTGACTGAGGAACTCGGTGAATGTTCCAGTTACGCGCACTATTCTCCTGAAACTGGCTTGTTTCTCTGGCAACCACTGGTTCATTTATACGACACTAACCTTTTTTCACTGTCTGTTATCCCTTGGATTTTTAAAAGTCAATTTCCCGAAAAAAATCGATCACACATTAATATCGCGTATCTGCCTCTTATGCCGAGGTGATAAACTGCACAAATATATTCCTCTCTAGTTTTTGGTTGATTCACTAACGAAAACGTAGCTTGTTTTAAAAATTCTTCTTCGCGTGCGACAAATGTTTGGTCTCGTGAGTCATTCGGTTTTGGGTCCATCCAACAGTACGGATCCATCGGTTTAGAATGAATTTTGATTCCCTGAGACCGGTAACTGTTTACTTTTTGATGGATATTGCACTGACAAGGAAACATGCGTGTTTCTTCCCTTTTTTTCACTTATGAACACATTCCCTTCGCGCGCACACTTTTATTTTCATCAATTTTATTTTTCTTTTCACTTCGCAAAATATGTTCTCCTGCGCGCCCACACCTTGAAGAGGTTTGGTTTGAGTTCAGAGAACAATCACTGTACCAAAAAAATACGTTTTCCTGCGCGCCCACACCTGGAAGAGGTGTAGTTTGAGTTCAGGAAACGGTAACAGTTTTTTGCTTCATTTAAACAAATCACTTAGGCAAATTTTGCCTCACAGTCGAAGGACCAATGTTAATATTGAAAGCAAAAGAAAACAAACTTTAATTTTCACTTTAACTTAAACACTTTATTTTGCCTTCAATTTGGTGGTTTCGTTTTTTGCAGACGAAATATGAAATGCTTACAAAGTGAAATCCCTGGAACAACTAACTTAGCCTACGGGTTGGTCGCGTTTATATACGCTACCAACCCGGATCTAGCAAGTGAGCTCATCATTTGATGAACTCACTGCATTTTCCCTATTTGAATGGGATGAGCGCGATCATTTGTTTATCCAAATTCCCCTTATCTGGCGGTAGTGAATGAGCTCATCCTGCGATGAGCACATCCACCCCGTATTTGGGCGTGATGATGCGTTGCTAAACACATCACCCGCATATGGAGTGCCAGATGGTCGCAGAAGCGACCGTCTGCCTTTCGCTCCATATTTGGAACCTTGCTTAAGCTAATTTAAATTTGGTAGGTTTTTGCTGATTCTTGGAAGCATAAATGAAGGCGTTATTTCAGCTTTCGTTTGTGCTTCCAACAGACGGATTTTACGGGTTGGGCAATCCGTTTGGATCTATGAAGAATGTTACATCCTTTGCAAGCAGTTCTAAACACGCAATTGTGGCGGAATCTGAAAGTGGTCCCGTAAGTGCACGCAATCCCCTGATAAAACGTATGTAGCCGCCGATGGTTTCAAGCTGCAATTTAATCGAGTACGAGCCTACCCTGTAAATGAACCGCGCAAAATGAGAAGTTATTCGCTCGGCTAGACGATTCAACGATTCAAGCAACCTATCGCTGACATCGCCCGAGTTCGGAAGAAACGCAAAAAACAGGTCCGAAATTTCCTCTTTTGGTATAAGCCAATCTGTCTTGTCTGCACATCTCTGTTTTTGCAAAAAGTTCATTCAGCCGAAGAATTGTGTGCCGACAATTGTAATGGTGGATATTGAAATAAACGAAAAACTTTTCCAACAAGTGACTGTGGCAGCCCAGCGCAGTTGCTATTTCGCAGTAATATCTTTGTGCCAAAGCTAGTATATGCTCGTGCCTTGCTGCACCCGTTTTTACGCTGTCAAGCAGAGAGACGGCTTCCAGGAAAAAATTCTCTTTTGCATTCGCTTTACATTTATGCAAGATAAAAGCAAACATTTCGGACGCATTGTTTGATTTACGCGTTCCGAGTATATCCGTGCTGCTCAATTGCCAATAAAGCATACACAAAATCTCAACCTCATGTTCATGAAAGTTGACATAGGCGGGTGCGTTTTCGGGAAGCAGCCCGTTCAATACAGCCACGGCCCATTCTTTTTTATTGACCGTTTCCTCTCATTGTTTAGGCGTATATTTTGGTTTACAATCGCCTGTGCAGCAGATTACCACTCTTTGGAAACTGCTCTGCGTTGCAGTGAATAGTTAACCGAACAGTAAGCATCGTTTACTTTTGCCAAACTACAATTGGGGTTAAATACAATGTACGTGAGCAATTGCGTTGCAAGAGGGTTCCGTAGAACAATTATCTAGATTTTGTTATTTTCCGCAATGTAACAATAATTCAATGTTATGGGCCTTGGTAAACTAGAAAATAGTTTCCAATGCTTTAACAAAGCAGCAACAAAAGCTTTGCGCATTACTCGCTGGCTGCTGTTTTGAATAACACAAAGAAGTGAATGTATGATGCATACAAAAGTGCATTTCTCTCTCTCCTCCCAATGTATTTTTCTGCTTCAAAATTTGTCTATTTTAAAGACAGACGATGAGTATACATTCGATCTAATGCTTACCCTTGTCTAACCAAATGAATCGTATAACCTTTATCTGAATATATGTGAGCTGGAAGAAAATAAAAAACGGGAGAAGAAGAAGAAGAAAAGAAAAAAAGACACAAATGTTTGTGTTCCACTCAAAAACCTTTATTTCATCAAAGAAACCAAAAACGCATACAAATGTAAATGAATTAAAAAAAAATTAAAAACGCACAATCAAGAAAATTTACGTATAAAAATGAATGAAAAATATGCACGTACAAGAAAAAAAATAGATGAAAAATTTAGAATGAAGAAAAAAAGCATACGTGAGAAAAAATATTAAACTATTGATTTGTTTAAAACGAGTCTACCATTGATTATTTTAGCCCCCTCCATTTGACATGGTGTTGCACATTTCCAACACCTATCGCAATCTGAATCTTAATTACAACCAGCAAACTGAAGCGGTATTTCGGTAATGTTATGTGTAGTAAAGCTCCAATCGCTCGAATCTTCTCGTGGACCGCAATTACTCCAACAAACACCTGAGATGCAGCCCGAATTAAATTCATTGCAGTCATTTGCTCTACGGCTAATTCTCTCTTCTTTCGCTCGTTCAAAGTGATCTCGTGCCATTTCCGCAGCAACACCACCAGCCGCTGCTGAAACGCTGAAAACTATAGCCCATCCAAGCTGTTTCCCTAGCCAACCAATAATAGCTGGTGCAGCTCCTGCTGTGAGAGCGAGTTGTCTTTTCTTTCTCATAACTACTCGTTTATTTTTATTGTTGTTAAATTTATTGAAATCTGGCACAGATCGATGACTTAATGATTTGGTAATATTTTTCGGAGTTTCCAATGTAGTATTATCAATGTTGATCTGATCTGATGGCCTCAAAAAACGCGATATATTGTTTTTACCGAACGCACTTTCACACAAATCAGCAAGAGTTTTGCGTAACGTAATAATTGTAAATCCGATGGCAGCAGGTAAAGCGTCTGATTTCACTGCGGTTTTCGCGATTTCGAATCCAGCTCGCACGAATCTTTTTTCAAGAAATGCTTTATGTCGGTAACCCCTAGACGTGAACATCATTATTCTAATGTTTTTTGTACATGATTGATAAAGCAATGAATGAAAAACACTTTATTTTTTATTTCTCAAAAATCTCAAAAAATCACTTTAATTCTTATTGCTTTCTTGCTGGATTCTTTTTATTTGCAGAAGAAATATGAAACTGCTCACAATGAATTCCCTGGAACAACTAACTAAGCCTACGGGTTGGTCGCGTTTATATACGCTACCAACCCGGATCTAG